AAAATGTCCATACTGCCCAAAGTGATTTACAGATTCAATGCAAAAGAAAAGAAAGAATTTTCTTTTCTTGCCTGCTTGATTTGGCTAGGACTTCCCACACTATGTTTACTAGAAGTGGGGACAATAGGCATCCTTGTCTTGTTCCAGTTCTTAGTGGGAATGCTTTCAGCTTTTCCCCATTCAGTATAATGTTGGTTGTGGGTTTTCCATATATTGCCTTTGTAACTTTGACATGTTACTTCTATGCCTAGTTTGTTGAGGGTTTTTATCATGAAAGTGTGCTGAATTTTGTCAAATGCTTTTTCTGCCTCTATTGAGATGATCACATGATGATCTGTTTATGTGATGAATGAATCACATTTATCAACTTGTGTATGTTAAATCATCCTTGCATCCCCGGGATGAAGCCCACTTGGTCATGGTGAATTATTATTATTATTGTTATTATTTTTTTGATGTCCTGTTGAATTAAGTTTGCTAATATTTTATTGAGGATTTTTGCATCTATATTCATAAGGGATATTGGTCTGTAGTTTTCTTTTTTTGTTGTGTCCTTTCCTGGCTTTGGTATCAAGGTGATACTAGCTTTGTAGAATGAGTTGGGAAAGATTCCCTCCTTCTTGATGTTATGGTATAATTTCTGCAATATGGATGCCAACTTTTTTTTGTAGATCTGATAAAATTCAGCTGTGAATCCATCTGGTCTAGGAGCTTTATTTTTGTTGGAAGCTTTTTTATAGCTGCTTCAATCTTGTTGCTTGTTATTGGTCTATTCAGGAGTTCTACTTCATCCTGATTTAGCCTAAGGAAGCTGTGTGTTTTTAAGATTTGTCCATTTCCTCTATGTTTTTGAGTTTATATGCATAGAGATTTTCACAGTATTTACAGATGATATTTTGTATTTCTGTGGCATCAGTTGTAATGTCTCCTTTTTCATTTCTGATTGAGCATATTAGTGTCCTTTCTCTTCTTTTCCTGGTTAATCTAGCAAGAAGTCTATCAAATTTATTTTTTTTTTCAAAGAACCAACTTTTTGTCTCATTGAGCTTTTGTATTATTTTATTGTTTTTAATTTCATTTAGTTCTGCTTTGACCTTACTTATTTCTTTTCTTCTGCTGGCTTTGGCTTTGGTTTACTCTTCCTTTTCTAGTCCCTTGAATATGTTATTAGATTTTTTAAAAATTTTGCGATCTTTTCATTATAGGCAATTAAGGCTATGAATTTTCCCCTTAAGACTGCTTTTATTGAATCTCATAGGTTTTGATAGTTTGTGTGCCCTTTGTCATTCAGTTCAAGGAATCTTTTGATTTTCATCTTAATTTCATCATTGATCCAATAAAAGTTCAGCAAAAGGTTGCTTAATTTCCATGACTTTGTGTAAAATTCAGTGTTTCTCTTGATTTCTAGTTTTATTCCACTGTGATCTGAGAAGATACATGGTATGCTTTCCATTTTTTGGTATTTTTTGAGTCATGATTTGTGGCCTAAAATATGATCAATCTTGGAGAATGTTCTAAATGCTGAGGAGAAGATTGTATATTCAGTATTTGGGGGGTAAAATGTTCCATAAATGTCTGTTAGACCCATTTTTTCTGGAGTCCCATTAGTGTCCAATGTTTCTTTATTTATTTTCTGCTTGGATGATCTTTCTAGTTTTGTCAGTGGGATGTTGAAGTCCCTGGCAATTGTTGGTGAATGTTTGGGCATTAGCCTTATCTTTTATCATGCTGTTTCCTTCCTTCCTGACCTAGAATGCTTTCATCACCCAAATCCTACCTTTCTTTTATGGTCCAGTTCAAATATCAGCCCTCAACTCAGCTTTCTGTGATTTCTACACTGGGCTTTCATTAGCACTTACCATATTTTACCTTGCATTTAGTCATTTTATGTTCATGGCTCTATACTCTGAAGCATCATAAACAGGAGCTTCTTCATAGAAAACAAGAAATGCTTATAGAATAAATGTAAGCGTTCCAGAAGAGAATGGTTAATCTAGTAGCAAGATGAAGAATGTACCAGCCATGGATAGACTAGAGGCAGTGAAATTAATTAGAAGGATGTTATAGTTGTTCAACCATGAGGTGGCAAGCACTGGTAGGATAATTAGGACACTTTTAAAGTGGTGAGAATAGGGAAGTGAAAAGAGAATGAGGGTGAAGACACCTAGCCTATAGTTGGAAATGCTCATTTGAGATGTGGATGACATAGATGGAAGGAGAGGCTTAGCATAGGCTGGTAGCCAGAGATCAAATCATCAAGTGGAAACAAGATAATATTGGTGCCCCCACAATTTAATTTTTACACTCCCCTCTTCCTTGCCAGGCATGAAGCATTTCATTCTTTGCTCATCCTGACCTGTCCCCAATTCACCAGTAGTGCTTTAAGATACTGACATATCTAATACTATTCTTTCTTTATGTTGAAAATGTATCTGTCTTATGTCCCACTTATCTGGAGTGGCATTTTCCAAATGTATTCAATACATAGTAGTTCTTCAAGATACTGTGGACTCTATGAGAATGGGCACTGTTGTGAGTGTAGTCTGGGAAATCCCACAATGAAAGTTAACATGCTAAATGAGAAGCTTTGGTGAAAGAGACTTTATTTAAACTACCAAACATTATTTATTCATACATCCACTCCCCCCTTTTAATTGTTATTGATGCAAAATCTCTTAGTGGTTTCATTGTATCTATGTGGGGAAACTTTACGTTAGGGTCTTGATGATAGATAACTAATCTGATAAGTAGCTATGTGCTTGGTATTAATGGTTGGGAAAGAATAATTAACCTTATGATGTTAAATATTCATAATCTACCAGAAAATTCAAATGGAGAATCCAAAAGAAAATTTAGTGTAGGAAGTTCAGTATTGTGGATGATAAGTGGGGATTAAAAATTTGAGCAGCAGAGTCTTTTAGACCTCGTCAATCATACCGCCCAAGTGGATAATGGCTACTCAATATCTATATCAATTTTAGATCCACAGCTAAATTCTATATCCATTTTACTAGGGCTATTACTTTGTTTCGACTCCAGAACTTCAATCAATTTTTCATCCAGTCTGAAGAATGGAAAGGAGGAGTACAGCACCATGATGACATTTTGTGTGCTGCGTTTTTACCTCCACAAACTCTTGCTACAGGTGAATTGAAACTTCACTTGACAATTATTGGTGACAATTTGGTTAGTTTTGGCTCACTCACTTTTAGAAGGGCCTTTTCTCAGCTGCAAAATAAATAGATTTCTTTTTTGTTTAAATTTATAACAGTTGTACATATTTATGGGGCACAACATGGTGTTTTAGTACATGTACAAATTGTGTAACAGTCAAATCAAGTAATTAGCATACTCATCACCAAAAACATATACAATTTCTTAGTGAGGAAGACACTCAAAAATCTCTCTTCTAGCTATTTTGAAATGTGCAATACATTATTCTTAACTCTAGTTATGCTACTATGCAATAGAACACTAGAACTTATTCCTCCTACTTAAGTAGCTTTGTACCTGCTCATCAGTCTCTCATTATGACCCCTTATCTCCTCCCTCCACCATCCTTTGGTAACCATTATTTTAATTTCTATGAGAATAACATTTTAGATCCCAAAAATGAGATTGTGAGATATTTGTCTTTCTGTCTCTAGCTTATTTCACTTTATGTAATGTTCTCTAGGTTTATCGATGTTGCTGTGAATGACAGGATTTCATTATTTTTTATGGCTAAATAGAATTCCATTGTGTATATATAACACATTTTCTTTATCCATTTATCCATTGATGGACATTTAGTTGATTCTAAATATCTTGGCTATTGTGAATTATACCATAATAAACAGGAGAGTATATATCTCTTCAGCAAACTGATTTCATTTCCTTTGGCTATATACCCAGTAGTGGAATTGCTGGATCATATGGTAGTGCTATTTTTAATTCCTTGATACTATTTCCCATAAAGGCTATGCTGATTTACATTCTGAGCAGCCATATATAAGTGCTCACTTTTGTCCACATCCTCACCAACACTTGTCATCTTTTGATTTTTTGATAGTAGCCATTCTGACTGGAGTAAAGTTATATCTCATTGTAGTTTGCATTTGCATTTCCCAATGATTAGTGATATTGAGCATTTTTTCATACACTTGTCAACCATTTTGTATGTCTTTTTTTGAGCAATGTTTATTCAGATCTTTTGCCCATTTAAAAATCAAGTTATTTGGTCTTTTTGTTATTGAGTTGTTTGATTTTCTTATATATTTTGGATATTAGCCCCTTCCTTATCAGAGGTATAGTTTGAAACTCCATTTTCCCATTTTGGTAGGTTGTCACTTTGCTCTCTTAATTGTTTCCCTTGAAAATGAACAGATTTCTTAAAAAAGCAGTTCTTATTCCTTTTGGTCTCTATTTATAAGGCAATACATTAGTGGTTATGACCATTGTATGCCTGGCTTGATGGCTTCAAATCCTGGTCCTACCACTTGCTGCAGCATAATATTGAACAAGTTATTTAAACTCTAAATCATAGTTTTCTCAGTTTAATAATATTATAATGTATATAGTTTGATTTATAGTACAGATTATCCATGCAAAGGTTTTACATAGTGCTCAGCACATAATAAGCTCATCAATAAATAGTATCTTTTATTTTTATTGTCCATTTTCCAGGAGTAGCATTAGGGCTATTGGGTATGAATCACACCTTGAAACATCACTTGGATGTTTCATAATAGGAACATATTAATCCTTAGGCATAATTTAGACTCAATAATCTTGGTTAGAGACTGTCCTTACAAAGCGTCTACAAATCCAAGCTCTTAAAATGATCCATAAGCACGCTTTGATATGACATACTAAAGAGGATAAAAAATTGTTGCATTATTTCTGGCCAAAGAAAGCAATTTATAGAGACAGATTACACCATGAACTTTTCAAGTCCATATTTTGACAGCCTATTTTTTTTTTATGGAACCAAAATGTCATCAATTAAGAAGAATGAAAACTTACAGGAAAAGAGCCAGGATATCTATGAAATGTTACAAAATGAGGCTTACTGATCTATTTACATTTGTAGCTCCACTGTTTCCAGGACTTCCCTGATTACTGTCTGTTAGGGCCAGCTCTGTAGCTGAATTTGCTTTACAAACACTGAAATTCCGCCCCTGCAGGGAGGATCACATTGAAATGTGATGGAGAGAATGAACTATAAAGTTGTGTGGTTCTTACTGCGAAAGTGTCATAAAACACTATTGTATTGATGGATAATCTTTTCATTTATTCTGATCTCATCAGTCCTATGTGAAAATGTTTGGTCGAGCATTTTGTAAATAAAGCATTTCAAAATCATAGAGAAAATGGATACTCCCATGAACAGGTGAATTTCATCTCCCTTGGCCAATTTGTGAGTTAATAAATTGCTCTTTCCAGGACAATACAGAGTTTAATATATATTTCTCTTTCCTCTCCCCAAATCACAAGAAAGTCACCTTTTGTATTAATACATCCAAACTCATCTCTTCTCTTCTGATCTTCACTTGTCATTGACACTCGTCAGGGAGCTGTCCCCACTGAGCACCTGCGAGCAGTGGTCTAGGTATTGCGGCCTTGCTCCTCAGCAGGACAAATTTGATCAGACTTAGCCTTACTTTTTGGGCTTTTCTTTGTTCTCCATGAAGAGCAGTACCACAGGACTTCCTGCAGGAAAAATTTTAGGATTGGAGAAAGCAATATTCAATAAAGAATGTAAGAGGGAAGGAAAGAAGAGAAGACATATGTATGCACATGTATACACTCCCCACCAAGGTATGTGGAGAACAGAACTCCAGAAGTACTTGATTTGTTTGCCCTTACTCAATAATGAAAATGTATAATAATAATTTAACATTTTTTCAGTGCTTAAAATATGCTTGACACTACACTAGGTACTTTTCATTCTTCATAACAATCTTGTGAAATAAATACAATTATTAACCCTGTATAATAGATGAGAAAATTGTGGCATCAAGTAGAGTTAAATAACATGCCCAAGGCTACACACCTAATAAGTGGCAGAACCAGGACTCAAACTCAAGCTGTTTAACTGCAAAACCCTTATGCTGAATACTTACAACTATAAAATAAAAGGAGATAATAGTAATTTCTATATACCTACTGCACAGGTCATGCTGTGAGGATTGTAAGCCCTATCGTTAATAAAAATACTAGTTATTATTCATGTTTCTAAAAATATAGAGTGCCTACTAAGTGCCAGATTCTGTATAACATACGTTGATAATGACTTCTAATTGCTATTGCACGTATTTTCTATCTTAACCTCCTGGTGATTTATATTCTCTATCCTGGCTTGTGTAGGGAGTTATGATGGAGAAATTGTGCTGTGGAACAACAGCACAGAGAATGCTCACCATGTCCTTCACCCTGATTACCAGAGGCTGCTAAAATCAAAGTCAGGTAACTACAAGTTTGAAACTGAAATAATGTGGCGTAGTCAAACCACAATAGGCCTGGCTGTTTATGCATATACCTGATGCAGCTCATTCCTAAATTATAGACGATTGGCTATAAGCATAAAGGATTAGGGATATCGTTGTCTTGTCAATGTGACTAAAGAGAGCCTTGAGATTTACTTGGCTTAGCAAATTCTCCATGGCTGTTTCCTCTCTTTATGCTACATCAGCGTTTCTGAATTACTAACAGCAGGGAGCAGGACTCTCATTTGTATTTAGTTTAGTATTTTTTCCCAATAAACCTTGCCAAATTGCCTTAGAGTGAACCTTGGATACCACTTGGTAAGAAAATGGGAACTTGTGTTCACTTTATAGACTGTTCAGACTCAATCTAGAGCTTGTATTAAATATTATGCCACCTGTAAATCTTAAATTATGTCTTGCTTTAGAAACCTGTGAGGAGCATTAGATGGGAGTATATTGTATTTTATGGGAGTTTAGCAGAGCACATGAATATTTTATACTTAAACAAAATGTCTTGACAATTGCCTTTCACATTTTATTTTAGTTTCCTTAGATACTAAAGGTTTTTCCTTAGACTAATTTATTTGGGTAATGAATATGTCATTCTTCATGGCCCGGTGAGGTTCTGTTGTCTCAATTGAATAAGCTCACTGAGGTTGAATTGAACTTTAGGAAAAGACTGGTCATCAGATGCGGTTTTTTTATGAAAAGCTGAGGAAGTACTTTATTAAGAGTAAAAAAATCAACTCAAGAGATTTAGAGGTTACTTGGCTGCAAACATAAAGCTCTGATCTGCCTTACATACAAAGAATTAGCCATTAGGATTCATTTGAACCTTCCATGGACAGGGTAGAATTCTGCCTCTTCCTCATACTGGACTTCAGAAGACACAGAGAAATAAATGAGAGAAAAGCAAATAATATCAAATTCCTAAAATACATGAAAGGCATTTATATAGATTTCTTGCTTTAAAATTTGTAAGATACTTGTATATACATTTTTTTATAACTATGTACAGATTATTCATAGATTCTAAGATGAATTTCCCCAGTTTTCATTAGTGAGCCCTAGAGATGATAGCATTAGATAATGGAAGCACTGTTAGGCTTGTCCTCTCCAGGGTAACTCAGTAACAAATACTATTGCTAAAAACTGATTATTTACATATATAAAAATTATCATTAGATCTGTTTATTACCATATTTGCAAGACTAATTAGTAATTAATAAGCTGAAAATGCCACGATATCAGAGTCACATTTGTATTGCATATCAGGATCTCTAAGATGTTAGCAGTGAATATAATATGAAGTCCCTATTAATTTATATCAAGGGAAAATGCAGTGTATATGGAAACAAAAACAAGTGTGTATGCAAAACAAAAATGAAATCAAATGAACTTGAAAAACTCGACAATTTGTCAAGTTGAGGTTGAGGTAGTGAATAGCAGAAGAAGGTTTGGTGGATGTTGACTGGAAGTGCAGTGTGAAACTTGATGGAGTCATTGCAGATAGTGAGGGAGGTAGGCCTGTTTTTTCCATAGGCACCAGTTAGAAAAGTACATGTTTTTAGGACACCTGGCTTTGTTTCCATCACAGATACAGAACCTCAAAAACTTCTCAGTGCTGAGGGAAGCCACTCCACCCACCCCATGGCAAACCAGTCTACAATGGAAGTCTGCACCTTTCAGATTGACACCGAGGGCAATACTGCTGTTATGAGGCTTTTCTTCCTTAAAGCAAGAAAAAACACTGCAGTGACAGGTAAAATATATATTTATGTTTTGCATATAGTTAAAAAGGGAGCAATATGGTAAGTTCAATCTATTTCCATCAAGGTTTTATAGAATTTACATGTAGCTAACAAGTCAATAGTGGGTCATGGGAGGCAATGGGCCATGGCAAAGGAGGTTGGGGTTGAGAAGGCGGAGTCCAGGAGCAGGGGCCAGACTAGAGCCCACTACTAATTTATCTAGTGCTGTATGTGTCAAAATCAGGGTGAGAAAATTAATGACAAACTATTTGATATGACAAATATTGAATTGTTGCTCTAGCCATGGCAGGAAGAAATTTTAGTATGATAGGGGCACAGCAAGCAAGATATATGCCCCATATTTATGAGTCAAACCCTAGGTCCACATATAGCAGAAGAGTGGAGTCTGAGACTTGACTGTACAGACATCTAGTATCAAAATGGGATAAAAGAATGAGGAGGTTGGAGATTGGGAGCAGTAGCAAAATTTGAAACAACTGCTGATCCCAGGGCAAGAGCTGCCTGCTCTCTGTCTTATTTATTATTTTTTTTAGTAGTTCTCTGAGTAGTTTTACCAACTATGCATACTTTCTAGAATAAGTCAGAGTCCTGGTCATATCTTTTACTGAGATATATGTTAACATTGGTGCTACCACATAATTTACTACAGTTATTTGATATTATATAAATGAAATAATCATTTGCTTAATTTTTCCTCTGTTGTCAATGACAATATTAGCACGGTGTTGATGCAAATACCACCTTCTTAAATAAAAATCTGCTTTTGAGAATAACGCATATTTTTGGATTTTTATCTAAAATAAAAATTATATTTTAGAAGTGTTTCTTCTTAACATTAGGAATCTGGACATGTATGTGATAATTCAAAAAATAAATAAATATCTGAACCATGTTTTCTATGTTCATTTCCCCTATTTAATTTGAAAATAGAAAATCTGCATTATTTTCATATGAAAATTTCATTATTAAGAATCAATAAAGGTTATGCCCCCATAGTTTTAAAAACATTGTGGGATATTTAGAGTAGACTTTGAAACAGTTAGATTCTAAAACTTTCTGTTTTCTAGAACTTACTTATCCTTACAATATGAACTATTATCCTAAAATTACTCTCATATTTTCAATACTAATTTTTCTTAATGTTATCAGTATTCCTAAATTGCTTTCACTGAAGCAGCTACATGTCATTATTTCTACCTTAAACAGATATGATTGTTAATTGGCAGTACATTTGTGAGGCAAATTGGAACTCATTTACAGATTTATCGAATAATAGGAACCTTGCCACAGAAGAATAATTTAGGTAAAGTGCTTCCACAATGCATATAAAAATGGAAAGTGAAAAGGTTAGTGCTAAGTCTGTTAACAAAAAAAGGGCTGCATAACAGCTTACATGAATTCTTGATGAAAAAACTTTTTAAAAGGCTGTGAATAGAATTCTAAGCATGCTGATAAGCAGAGAAATCAATAGTTATACTGCTATCATGACATATATGCATCAAAATCTGTGCATGAGAACTTTTACTTTATCATATGTGACCAATGGCTTGCTAGGGAAGATGGATTTTATTTAATCAGGGCATTATCATAGTGTTAAAATTAATATTTTTATACATTTATTTGAAGAAACAAATTAATTCTAACTAGAAATCCCCCAAAACATCAGAACAATAAATAAAGGAAGGGAACTAAATGCAATGGAACATTTAAATATCCTATCTCATTTAATTCTCAACACAAACCAGTGAGGTTTTCATGAGGGTTATCTCCATTTTATATTGGAGAGAATCGAAGTGGTGCTGGGAGTGGATCTCAGGGCTACTCACTTCTCCAACATCTGTGCCTTCCACAGGGCAAGCTGCTGAGAGAGTTGTCTCTGGCACTTGTTACAGCTTTCTAATTAGGTTTTTCCCATGTTAGGAGGAGCTAACCTGGTGTCATGTGGAGGATCTGGTTATGTCAGATTCTGGGATACATTTAAGAAGCAACTTCTGGCTGAATTTTTGGCTCATAGTGGGGTTGGATCTATTATTATGTCTATTGATAAGATGAATCAATACCTCACCACAGGAGATGCTGATGGATGGTTGAAAATCTGGAATATAGAGGTAAATTGAAAACTTTTCACATTGCTTTTTATTACTTTGGATTGCCTTTCATTGCAGATAACGATGAATCAAGTCTCATCTGTTTCCTAAATAAAGGAAGAAATGTCCAGTCTGAGTATTTTAAAGAAAACATTTATATGTATTGAGCAGAGACTTTTAAATAATTGACAAGGAAAAACAGATTTATCTCAATAATAGAAAACTTTTGTTAATGCAATGGGAAGTCAATCATGCAATTTAGAAATACAACATTGTCAGTAAGACACAGTGAGATACTGCAGTGTCATCTCAATATAAATAATTAGGATATACCTTATTTGAAATGATAATGTAAAAAAAGTAATCTAAATACTAAAGCACTAGTCTTTAAATAAATGCTAAAGCACTAGTCTTTCATCTAACATCACTATCCTGAATTAGTTCAGGATCTATGTATCAGTGGTTATATGTTCAATTTTCTAATAATATAAAATTGTATAATATGTGACTACGTATACATGGTAAAGTTCTGCTCTATCAAATAACTGGCTTTACTGTTTAATTTTTTCCATCCTCCCTCCCTCTTCCTTTCTTTCCACTTCCCAGGTAGTCTAATTAGTTAGAAATCTCTTTAAAAAATGTTAATGCTATTTTTATAGCCTCTGTTATTAACTTTTCTTTTGCATTTGGATCAAAGATTATTGTTCTCAAATGTATCTTTTCTGATTTCTGAATCAGGCTTTTTTTTTTAAGTGTTACATCACTGTAATCATTTAATTTTGGGATACTTTCATTCAGGAGTACTGTCTTAATTCCAGTAAGGACAAAACCACGCGGGCCCCAACTCTGATAAGATCATTCCGACCTCACGTGGACCGCATAAGCTCTGTAGAGCTGTGTGAGCTGAGTGGCCGTTTACTGATCATCTCCTCCTCCGCAGACTGCAGCATTTGTGTGACTGATGTCTGCAGTGCTTCTATTTGGATCTTTGGTCAGGTAGAAATATTGCTTCCTTATTATTCTCGTATTTACTTGACATTTAGTATGAACTTGGGATGATTTCCATTTAAATCTCATCAGCTGTTTAGTGTTCATTAGTCATGAAAACACCGACTTACACTTCTGAAGCTGTAGCTCCAGGCCTCTCTTGTCCTGTTTACCATTAACCACGACCGTTCCATCAAGCCGAGGACACCAGAGACATGGAAAGATGGGGGCTCTGTGCAGCTCAAAATATTCAAGTATTTCTGAGAAAAACTTCTCTAAAATAGAATAATTTCTTCAATTTCAAAATTTAGTAAAAATACAATGTGGATGAAATTAACATGTTATAAACAGTGACTATAACTATTAATTAACAAGGTAAAAATCAAAAGTAGAAAATTTTACAGAGAGTGGTATAGATTCTAAAGATAAAACTAAGTGCAAAAGCATTCTACCACTTATTGTGCGATCTAACCCTCTTGAACAAGTCACTTTACTTCTCTGAGCTTTAGTTCCCCATCTTTAAAATAAAGATAATTTTAATAATATCAAAAAAAGTAGAAAATTTTAGAGAAAACCCAAATCTACTTATTCATCATCTGGTTTACTCCTGCCAAATAATGATAGCTAACATTTGCTGAGTTTTTCCTGTGTATCTGGGTCCCTGTTCTAAGATCTTTACATGAATTATCTCTTTTAATCTTTACAATTGTCCACCCCATGAGGGAGGAACTCTCATTATTCCTTTTTTAAAGATAAGGAAACAGAGGCACAGAGAGTTTGAATACATTGCCTGAGCTCACAGAAGCTAATAAGTGATAGTTTGGCTTTTTATTGAAGCTAGCTTACTCCAGATCTCATGCTTTTCACCCCTTCCTCCCATGAAACCAAGTTATGACTTACCCCTGTCTATGAAGTGAAATGCAAGTGGTGGGCATAGAAGAAAGAAAATATTATCTCACATTTTCTGTTTTTTTTTTTTTTTTTCAACTTTCATTTACATTTTATGGGAACTCTACTCTTGCTTTCTTTGTGATTTGGGGAACAAAATACATTTCATTGGTTTTAAAAAGTACTTTTTAAACATGTTGGTGTGAGTTTAAGCGAAAGTCTCAATTTTGGCCAGCTGACTTGACTCTATTCAGGAGCCTCAGATTCCAATCTCATGCTGGGAGAGTATGAGAATTCTCTTAGTATTGAAAGACAAGGTTTATTGTTGCTGTATTTGTGAAGTCACATTGATGATGTCAACCTGTGCTGAAATAATTCTATAGAACCCTTAAGAGATAGAGGGTGTTGTCAGAAAATTGTCTGGGGAGGTGGAACCATATTTGGTTGGGCAATATGAGAGTCTCAATGAAACACTCAAGAGTTGTATCAGCTCTTTTTACTCTATAAATAAGGCAAGTGCTGGACTTTTCCCAGTTGTGAAAAATCAGAGGCTAAGTGGGAACTCAACCAGGTGTGTGGGTAGATGTGCATTGGGTGAGACAGAGTGGGACATACCTGGCAGTCTGGACAGGAAACAAGGCAGAAGCCAGCTTGTGGCCATTAGAGAAGCTACGCATTGCTGACATTGCTCTATGGCCACACAGGTTGTGGTTAGATGAGGCAGAAGATTGAATGACAAGTAAACATTTTATTGTTTATTATTTCATTTCTCTTTAATTTTTTTTAATTATTATGGGTACATAATGGTTGTATGCATTTATAGGGTACATGTGATGTTTTGATATAGGGATGCAATGTGTATTAATCAAATCAGGGTAATTGTTGTACCCATCGCTTCAAGCATTTACCATTTCTTTGTATTAAGAACATTCCAATTCCACTTTTTTAGTTATTTTAAAGTATATCCATACCTTATTGTTGACTATAGTCACTGTATTATTCTATCAAATACTGTTCATTCTATTAATAACTAATTATATTTTTGTACCCATTAGCCATTCCCCAAGATATGCCTACATCCCTGCTACCCTTCCCTACCTAGCCTCTAGTAACCATTATTTTAGTCCCTGTGTCCCTGAGATCAACTGTTTCAATATTTAGCTCCCACACATGAGTGAGACCACGCAAGATTTGTCTTTTGGTGCTTGGAATATTTGACTTAACATAATGTTCTCCAGTTTCATCCATGTTGTTGCAAATGTCTTTTCTCTTTTTTTCTTAGTCTGGCTAAAGGTTTATCTGTTCAAAAATTAACTTTTCATTCATCTTTTGTACTTTTTTGTTTAAATTTTGTTTAAATTGTTTGAATTTCCATTCAGACCTTTATTATTTCTTTTCTTCTACTAATTTTGGGTTTTATTTGCTCCTGTTTTTCTAGTTCTTTAAGATGCATGTTAGCTTGTTCATTTGAAGTTTTTCTACTTTTTTGATGTAGGTACTTATTGCTATAAACCTTACTCTTAGTTTTTGCTTGAAATTTATTTTATCTGACAGGGGTATAGCTACTCTTGCTCTATTTTGGTTTTTATTTGCATGGAATATCTTTTTCCATCACTTTGTTTTCAGTCCATGTATATTTTTATGAGTGAAGTGTTTTTCTTGTAGACAACATATATTTGGGTGTTTTTAAAATCTGTTTAGCCACTTTATGATTTTTGATTGGAGAGTTTAGTGCATTTACATCCAATGTTGTTATTGATATGTAAAGACTTGCTGCTGGCATGTTGTTATTTGATTTCTGTTTGTTTCATGGTCCTCCCTTTCTTTCTTCCTTCCTTACTGTCTTCATTTGTGTAAAAGTGATTTTATCTTGTAGTGTGTTTTAATTTCTTGCTTTTTATTTTTTGTGTATCTGTTGTAGGTTTTTGATTTGAGGTTACTATGAGGCTTTAAAACACATTTTATAACCAATTATTTTAAACAGATGACATTTGCTTTCCAACAAACAAACGAATGAACAAAGAGAAATCTAAATGAAATTGTACACTTTAACTTCATCTCCTCTTTTTGATTTTTTGTTATTTCCATTTATATATTTTTCTACTACCTATCTCTCAAAAAGTTGTAGTTATTATTTTTGATAGGATTGTCTTTTAGTCTTCCTACTCAACATATAAGTGGTTTATACACTACAATTATAACAATAGAGTATTCTGTATTAATGTACTTACTGTTACCAGTGAGTTGAAACACTTCAGATAATTTCTTATTTGTCATTATCATCTTTTTCTTTCAGATTGCAGAACTTCTTTTAGCATTTCTTGTATGAAAGGTCTGGTGTTAATGAAATGCCTTGGCTTTTGTTTATTTCAGAAAGTCTTTATTTCTCCTTCATGTTTGAAGAATATTTTGGAAGGATATAATAGTCTAGAGTTAAGGTTTTTTTCCTTCATCTCTTTGAACATGTGATGGCACTCTTTCCTGGTCTGTAAAGTTTCCATTGGTAAGTCTGCTGGCAGAGGTATTAGAGCTCCTTTATATGTTATTTTTTTCTTGCTTCCCTTAGGACCTTTTTTTTATCCATGACCTTTGGAAGCTTCATTATTAATGCCTTGAGGTAGTCTTGTTTAGGTTAAATCTGCTTGGTGTTCTATGACCTTATTCCACCTGAATATTGATATCTTTCTCTAGGTTTGGAAAGTTCTCTGTTATTGTTACTTTGAATAAACTTTTTATCCCAATCTCTCTTTCTACCTCCTCTTTAAGACCAATCACTCAGACTATTTTCTAGATTTTGTAGATGCCCTTCATTCTTTTTTTACCCTTTTTACTTTTTTTCTCTTTCGACCATGTATTTTTAAATACCCTGTCTTCAAGCTCACTACATCTTTCTTCAGCTTGATCAATTCTGCTGTTCAGAGACTATGATGAATCATTCAGTTCATTAATTAAATTTTCAGCTACAGAATTTCTGCTTGATTTTTTTAATGATTTCATTCTCCTTGTTAAATTTCTCCGATAGTCTTCTGAATTCCTTCTCTGTGTTGCCTTGAAGTTCATTGAGCTTCCACAGAATAGCTATATTGAACATTTTTTCTGAAAAGTCGCATATCTTCTTTACTCTGGGATCGGTCACAGACACCTTATTTCATTTGTTTGCTGGTCATGTTTTCCTGGATATTCTTGATGCTTGTGGATTTTCACTGGTGTCTGGGAACTGAAGAGTTAGGTATTTATTCTAATTTTTGCAGTCTAGGCTTGTTTGTACCTGTTCTTCTCGAGAAAGCTTTGTAGATATTCAAAGGGAATTGAATGCTATAATCTAAGTCTTTTGTCACTGCAGCTATGTAAGCAGTGAGAGTACTCCAAGCCTAGTAATGCAGTGACCCTTGAAGACTCATGGTGGTAGTACTTTAAGTGGACTTAAGTAGGGAGAATTACTTGGATTACCAGGCAGAGTTTCTCACTCTCTTCCCTCATTCTCTGTACTAGGCTGCTGGAGATGGAAGAGGAGTGACATGGGTACTCCCTCATGGCCATCACAGCTGGAACTGCACCAGGTCACACCTGAAACCAGCCAGTTTCATCCAAAGCCTATAGTGACTGCTGCCTGTCTACCTTTGAGGTTTATTCAAACATAAGGGTTCTATAGTCAGCAGGTAGTGAATCTTACAAGTAAATCTTGGCCCTTTCCTTCAGGGAAGTGGGTTTCTTTCTAGCCAAGGATGGGTCTAGAAATGCCATCCAGGAACAAAGGCCTGGAATCAGGGACCATTAGGAGTCTGCTTGGTACTTTATTTTACTATGACTGAGCTGGACACCAAGTAGCAAAACAAAGTCTTTGGAATCTTTCCTTTCCTTTCCCCAAGTGGAAGGAGGCTGTCCTTGTGTTTCACTGCCTGGAGTTGGTTTAGGGGTGACAGAGGCACTGGCTTTGATGCAGCTGCTAGTGTTTCACTGGGTCATATCTACCCTAAGCCCACTGGCTCCAAGCTAGCACATCCACAGGAATTGCCCAAGGACTGCAGTCTTTTTGTCTCAACTGCCTTATAATTTTTTTTCTAGGACTCAGGCTGCTTTTTGTCAGCTGAGGGTGGGCATAGCCAGAATTCAGGTTTCTACCTCTGGGGCAGAGGATTTCCCTCTGGCTAGTGTGGTCAGAATGCTCCCTCCATGGTGACAGCAGACTTCTGCCCTATGCTGTGTTCCCCTGTGTCAGGGAAGCCCTGAATTTCAAAGCAAATTCCCACAATCACTTCACTTTCTCTCCTCAGGCATACAGACTCTCTTTTCACTCCACTTGCTGGCACAGCACTGCTAGGGGATGGGGAAGGGGTGATGTAGGCAATGCAAGACTGTCTTTTCTGTCCTCTTCAGTGACTTTTTCCTTGGTATAATGTTAAAACCAAGTACTGTGTTCACTCACCTGATTTTTGTTTCTTCTGACAGTGCTTCCTTGTGTGGATATAGTTGTTGAATTTAGTGTTCATGCAGAAGAACAATCACTGGAGTTTTTTGTTCAGCCATCTTGCTCCACCTCCTCTCCTAAAATTCATTTTAATTAAGGAATATGTGCTAGTAAAAAATATTATTATGCCACTGATAGTCTCTATGTGTTTTTTTTTTTTTTTTTTGGTAGAGCTTTTTGGTTTTTTGAAGGACTTCAGCCCGCCAAAACCTGCATGAAAATAGTTTTATTTTCTTCCTCCTGTTCAAGACAGGAGAAGAGCCACCAGAGCTGGGTCAGTTTTAGAAATTAAAGGCTGGAAAATCTAGGGACATTGAGTTTTGTAGTCCCTTCTGTTTGAATTCTTTTTCTTCTTTTCTTTATAAAGGATTCACTTTTATCAAGCTGTCTCAAATATGAGTCCACTAGTCCCAAGATATCAGGAAAGAGAAGGGGGAAGAGGGAAGGGAAGGGAAAGAAAGGGAAGGGAAGGGGAAGGTGTGAGAGGGAAAGAAAAGTCTGAGTAGGGAAGGGAGAGAGTAAATTAGCAGGTCCTGTAAAATAGCAATAGTGGCTGTCCTTAGGAAGAGACAACCTTTTATAGAAAGAACAGAAGGTTATGGAAGACAGATGGAAATACATAGATGAGAAGGAGAAAGGGCCCAATTAGTAAATACAACTAAGATCAAAACATTTTTACCAAACAAATTTTATTTGTACAATGTAGTGACTTTTGCCCTACATTTGAATATTGCATTTCTCTAGCTGAATTAATATCAGTCTAGTAGTTATAAAAAGAAGAGAAGTAGTAATGCAT